GGTACAGGACGGTGGCAAGGGCCAGAGACATCACTCCAAGGACACACCTCAGGGTGACTGTCTGAAAACGGGATGTGTAGGGCTTCTAGGAATGAAGGAGGAAGGGAAAAATGGAGAGAACAGCAGAGCAAAATCAGTTTGTTTTGTTTTGTTTTTCTGGAAATTGAGGCTCCTGGGGCAGCTTATAATGGTGCAAGTGACCCCGCAGTGGAGCCTTGGAGGTCTGTTTTAGTCTTTGCCTGTGACCAACTTTCTGGGGGCCCTCAAGTTTCCTGCCTGTAAGATGAAAGAGTAAGCCAAAACAACGGGAAGTACATTCAGGCTGGGAGGTCTTTGGGGAGTCTGGTCCCTGCTGGCATTAGAGGAATTCTCAGCAACCACACAATCTTTATTTAGCTGTTGCCTGGACTCTTTTCAGGACCTTCAGGTGGTGACATGGGACCTGTCAATCCTATAAACTCAAAATGGTTTTGGGGTGGGACTCCATCCACCCTTTTGCCCGGTCCGTTCCGAACTGTAGCAGAGTGTTGCCTGCAGGGGGCGCCGAGGGCTCACTCAGCCGACAAAACCAAATTGAAATTCTTAGTGAACTCTCCAAAAGCATCCAGCAGGTCACTTTTTGTATTTTGTTTATTAAGAGGAGTGAGGCTTTTGAAACCTGAAGGTTTCTGTCCACAGTTGGTTTCTGTCATCATACGATTGATGAAACTGAATTATATGCATTGCCCAACTGGAATCCTCTCCACAATGGCTCTAAAGGGTTAGAGATCATTTTAGTCCCTTTGTTTCACAAATGAGGAAACAAATTCTGAAAGCTTAAAAAAGGGGTACCTGGGTGGCTCAGTGGTGGAGCCTCTACCTTTGGCTCAGGTTGTGATCCTGGGGTCCTGGGATTAAGTTCCACATCGGGCTCCCCATAGGGAGCCTGCTTCTCCCTTTGCCTATGTCTCTGCCTCTCTCTGCATCTCTCATGAATAAAATCTTAAAATAAAATAAAATAATAAATAAATAAATAAATAAATAAATAAATAAATAAATAAAATAAAAGCTTAAAAAAAATCACTTTGGGTCACATAACTAAAAACTAGCACCCTAGATGCCTGACTCCTGGCCAGTGGTCTTAGTAGACAGTTGGCTTTGTTTCCTAGAGTCTGTGGCTGTCCTATCTCCTAATGCACAACTCCAGGGGACAATTTCAATTTTGGTTATAAGGCTCAGGACCAGTCAGCCAGAAGGATCTTCCTCAGCACTTAGCACAATGCCTGCTTAATGAGTAATTAAATGAAAGAACAAGTGAATGACCCATGGAGGGTGGGTCTGATTTATCAAACCAGTTGGAGTTAGGTTTCTTTCCTGAAAGTTCCCTCAAGGCAGGAATTATATTCTGAGATGGGGGCAGTGGGATGGGGTGAAAACAATAAAAAGAGCCCAGAAAATTGCACCTGGGGTGATAAATCACAGCCCCAGGTATGGTCTTGGTGCAGGGATATTACAGCAAAGTGATTCCAGAATTTGGGATTGGAAAATTAATTCAGGAAGAATGAACACAGAACAGATGAGAATCCCATTAGGGTTAAAATCTGTGAGAGGGTCTGAAGCTGAAGAAACCTCAAAAACATTTCAAATCCAATCTAGATGTATCTTCAGGGCTGGAATGTGATTGAAGAATAAAAAAAGCTTTGGCCAATCAGTGGCCTCAACATAGCTGATGCAAGAGTCGAGTGAGTATGGCAACAGGAGGTGGAGATCTTTACTGAACCAAAAATACAAGGTGTGGGGGAGGGGAGGAATAAGCCCAGCCTGTGTCACCAGGCCATGCCCTGCTGGGCAAGAAGCTTCACTGCTGGCTGGATTTCTAGAGGCCAGGACAGTGCTTAGTACACACTAGATGGTTAATAAATATTTACTGAATAAAAGAGAGAGGAAAGAAGCGGGAGCCCTGACCAGCAGTTTTGCTCTGAGTGGAGATGGTTCAATGATTCATCTTTTTACTGGTTCTTTTGCTCAGATTTCAACTGTTCTAGCCACTTTCAGATGATTACTTGGCTTTTCATGGAGGCTGTCCTATACAGAGGGAAGTGCTTGCCCACCAATTATAGGCCACTTGACAATTATGTTTGTCACTCCCAATTAATATATTGTAATTCTGCTTTATGCATTACTTCTTGTGCCAGCCTGGTTCTTACTGGTCCTTCTCTCATCCATGGTGTGTGTAGTTTCTGCTCTGGAGTCATTTCTGCCTAGGTTTGAAATCCATCCTCAACACATACCTAAGCTATCTTGTCCAACAAACGTCTTGAGCCTCAGTTTCTTCCTCTGTCAAATGGGGGCATAATGCATACCTCACCAGGTTGTGGTCAGAGTTACATGGGATAATAGATGCATCCTGGCCTACTATTGGAGCTCAGTAAATGTTAGTATCTGTGCCTCTTCTGAGCTTTCCTTCCTTGGAGATTGGGTCACAAAAGTTCATCAAATTGAGAATATCAGTATCCTTTGCTTTTCCTTTTCACAAAATCACTAACTTTGTAAGTGAAGTCATGGGAATGATTTAGTGGCTTCCTTGAAGATTCTATGGGAGTATTCTACAGAAGACAATCACTCATATTTATTCATTCAAAAATATTTGCTGAGGACCCACAACACACTAATGGGGGATGCAAAGGCAATCAGACACTGCCTCAAAGGAGCTCTAGCACAGCCTGGTGCAGTCAAAAGAAGATATTGTATGACCTTGACATGAAGCTTTACCTTTCTGAGCTCAAGTTTCCTCGCTTTGCAAAAGTGATCAGTAATATATTCCACTGTCAGTTAGAAAGAAGGGTAAGACACTCAGAGATGATAACAAGGCTGCCTCAAATTTGGAGATCAGTGGCATAGAGAGGTAGAAACAATGTGTTGAGGAGTGGAGGAGCGGAAGAGATTATTTTCAGCTGAGCTGAAAAAGAAACCTTTCTGTAGGAAGTGGCATTTTGAAGGCATCATTCAGGCCACAAACACACATGAAAGCATTGAATGCTGGGTAGGATTCCAGTGGGCAGAGATTTGCAGAGAGAACTACTGGAAAAAAGGTTTGAAAGCCAAACAAGAAACATGGATGTGGCAGGTGATAAGACTGGCAAGGTAGACTGGGGCAGATCTTGGTAGATACTGAATGTCAATCTAGAGGTTTGACCTTTATTCTGTAGCCGATGAAATACCAGTAAAGCTTTATGATCTAAACATTACCTGGTAGTTCAGTCGGTTGAGCAGCTGACTCTTGATTTTGGCTCAGGTGGTGATCCCAGGGTCCTACGATGGAACCCTGCATCAGTCTTCACACTCAGTGGAGAATCTGCTGGAGATTCTCTCTCCCACTCCTTCTGCTCCTCCTCCTCCTCTCTCTCTCTCTCTCTCTCTCTAATAAATCTTTAAACATTGATATTACAGAGTAGATTTTAAAAATGAATCTTAGGGTGCCTTGGTGGCTCAGTCAGTTGAGCACCTGACTATTTATTTTGGCTCAGGTCATGATTTCAAGGTTGTGACATAGAGCCCTGCATTGGGCTCCTTGCAGGGCATGAAGTCTGCTTGAGATTCTTTCTCTCCCTCTGCCTCTGCCTTTACCCCAGCCTGTGCTCCCCTCTCAAAATGAATAAATAAAATTTTTTTAAATGAAATCTGAATCTGAAATATGTTAATTTAGAGGGGAATTCAATTCAAAGAAAGATTCAGTCACCAAGGGCATTTTATTGGCAGGACACCCTTGGTGGCATAGGGCCGAGACAAAGGTGTCAAGATATGGACCCTGTCCTCAAGGAGCTTATAGTCAAGAAGGTGAGATAAGACATGTACACAGAAAATTACAGTACAAAGTAGAGTGGGATAAGTGTTATGATAGAGCCCTAGCCCAAGTGCCTTTGTTGCTCAGCAAAGGGTGAAATTCATTTTCTTTTTCCAAGAGCTGGAGGCAGCAGGCCAAATCAGAGGGTCATCCTTGGAATGGTAAGCCTAGTCTCAGGGAGAAACTTGGAGGTAATCTAGCCCACCCAGGATTTCCTATCCAGAAAAGGATGTTTAAGATGGAAACAAACAGTGGAACTCTAAAGAAAAACTGAAGGAAGAGACTGTGGGAAGGGAACAAGAGATGAATTCACTTTGAGGTGCTGAGGTTCTGGTGTAAGCAACTTACTCCCAAAAGGATTACTGAAGGCCAGGAAATGGATGAGATCAGAGAGGGACAGAGTGTCGGAGAGAGGAGGGAAAAAAACAGAAACTGAGGAACACCCACGTTCCAGAGAGTCAGAGAAGGAGTGGCCAGAGAGAGACGTGAGAAAAGACCCAGTAGGACACCTTGCCTCAAAGTTTCTAAAAAGGGAGTGGTGGGTATGGAAGACAGGCCTGGAGGAAACCCCAAGGAAGCACGAGAGAAAACTGCAGCATAGGGATTGAGGTTAGACGTGAGGTTGCCAAGGACCTTTCGATGAATGGAGGCTTTTCCAGGGACTCCACAAATAGATGGATTCCCAGTACCTGGTACATTTTAAGACGGAGCCCTCCCGGAGGCCGGGGGTGGGGGGCAGGGCTGTGCCCTCTAATCTCCAAAAATCTGGGGTTCAGCTCTGTAATTAGCACCACCTCTCCTATCCCTAACCAGTCCCTGCAGGAACTGAAAAGCTGAAGAACGAACTTGGGAGGGATTTCACACCCGGCTCTCCGGCCCAGCCCGGTGAAGTCCCGTTTCATCACGCAGCCCTAATGACTCTTTTGGCTGTCACTCTCGGCTGATACTGCCCACAATGTGACTAAACCCTTTTGCAAAAGTTTGCAGCATGCATCTCGGGCTGACTACAGCTCCCAGAGTTCCCGGGCGCTTCCCGGTGCGGATTGGCCGGGCGTTGGGTTCCAGGGGGAGGTGCCGCCCCCGCCTCCCCGGGAAACAGGCCTCTGATTGGCTGCGGCGCGGAGCTTTTGTGTCCCCGCCCTCCCCCGGGGACCGCAGCAGGCTGAGCGGCGCTGCTGGTGTCAGAGCCCGGCGAGCGCTGGCAGTTCCGCGGCGGGGATGCTGGGGAGCGCTGGCTTGGCGGGCGGCCGTGGCCACTGCGGACTTCCGAGGCACTCCGGGCCGTGAAAACCCCAGGGCCGCGGCCAATCCCCGACTCCCGAGGCCATTCAGCCTTCCAGGAGCCGGCCGACGGGAGAGTCCGGCGGAGGAGCGCCCGTTCGCGGGTTCTGGGCTCTCGGAGCGTTCTGGAACCCCGAGAGACTCCCCGGGGCTCTAGGACCTCCCCAGCGGCCCCTAGCCCCGGCTTCCTGGGTGCGTGCGTGCCCGCCCGCCTCGGGTGCCCGGCGAGCCGTGGCCAGATCCTGGCACACACCATGATCGTTGCAGACTCCGAGTGCCGCGCAGAGCTCAAGGGCTACCTGCCGTTCGCCCCGGGCGGCGGCGGCGGCGGCGGCGGCCCCGGGGCGGGAGAGGTAAGCAGCGGCGGAGCGACGCCACTCTTCGTTTGAGTCCCGAACTGAGTCTTTGCGCAGCCCCCCCTCGGCCCCCTCACAACGCCCCGGGCTCGGGGGTGGGGTGGGGGGAGGCGGAGTGGAGCGCGTAACCTGGGAATGGGGTTGCATCAACTGGCAGTGGCGGCCCTCTCCGCCACCCCCCCCCCCCGGGCTGTGGAACCTTCCCTGGCTCCCCCGGACTCCCGGCCAATGAGAGGGGAGCCTTCTCGAGGTTATCTTGGGTTTGGGCTCTCGACCGGAGAATCTTCAAGTCCAGGCAGATCCCCGGCGCTGCGGCCGGACCACTCCTCCTCCCCGCCCCCTTCCGCAGATTCCCTTCCTCTAGGCTGGGGCTGCTGGCGGAGGACTCTTTCCAGGCTACGACCCGGTTCCCGTCTCCCAGTGCGGGGATTGGGGCACCTGGGACTTGCCAGCCGAGGTCGAGCGCGTCCCCCGCCCTCGCCTGCACCCCCAGTTGGCAGCGGGGGAGCGTCGGCGTTCCGGGGCCTCGGCTGGCCGCGGGGTACGCGGCGGCGGCCAAAGCTGGGGGAAGAGGGGAGAAACCCTGGACCCGGCTCGGGAAGGCAAGCGTCCTTTAGGCTGAGCCCTACTAAGCGGTCTGAGGTCCCAGAAGTTTGTTTCGCAGGAACTCTTTGCAGTGAAGCTAGGAAGAGGCCGGGCCTAATCTGACACACCTCCTGCCCCCTCTCCAACCGCCCCCCCCCCCCAGCGACAGGGGACATCTTATCATTTAAGCACTAGCACTACTAGGTGCTGGTCTCCGGTTTTGCCTTTTCTGAGTCCTCACGTACTAAACTAGCTAAATAGAGCTACACTATAGCCCCATTTTCCAGGGTGAGGAAATTGAGGCCCAGGAGGGACTTCCTTCACTAGCCCCGCCAAGTAGCTCTTTGCTGGGCGTATCTGGGATTCCGTAGTGTGCTTGACACTACAGAGAATTTAGTTTGTTTTAGGTTCCAGGCCTGGAGCATGGTGTAAGTATATTGCTGGGGCTGGGAGTGTGACAAGTGCTAGTCCTAACCTGGGTGACCCTGGGAAAATTGCTGCCCTTCTCGGAGCAGCATGATTTCTTGGGGTCCTACCTCCAGCGGTGGATGGTTTGTGTCCTGGGTTTTCTGTGGGGATCTCTTCCCTTCGCCATCATGGTTTAAGAACCCCAGGTGGAGGAATGAAACCCATCCTGTCACTTTGCCAAGTGGCTTTGACCAAGTCACTTTACTCTGAGTCTAGTTCTTTCTGGAGGAGGCTGGGTGAATCACAGAATTATTGAGGGCACCTGGCCCCTAGAGGGGAGCGTTCTGGGTTCATATCCCAGCCCTCTCATTCATTTGCTGTGTGATCTTGGCCAAGTGATCATTTTTCCCTCCTGCAGCTTCTTCCCATGGAGATTTGTTAGTATCTCTGAGGATTGTTGGGAGAAATGACAATACAAGCAAAGGCTAAAGCACAACTCCTGGAACATAGTAACTGAGTCAGAGATGCTGGGTATCGTTAGAATGTGGTCATTTCCCTTTCCCCAGAGTGTGTCACAATGGAGTGCCTGAACCTGTCCCTCTTGCCTGAGGTGAGAATTGGCCCATCCCTCTCCTAGTGCCTGGGAAGTGGCCTGGGGAGAAGAGAGTGCCCCAGGTGGTCTGGGCAGGCTCTAGGGAGTGGCCTTTAGATGGAAGCCACTTGTCAGCAGCAAGATATCTGAACACTGTCCACATAGTCTTCTCTCTCAAGAAGAGGACCTTGGGAAGATGCCTGCTTTAAGCAGCACCCTTAGAAGACTGTAGGGCACTGAACTTACAGAGCCTGGTGCCCAAGGGAACACCAGACATGCTGGCCCCTCACCTCCCAGCATTTCACCACATGCCCTTAACCTAAAGGGGTCAAAGCCTACAGACCCTAGGACTTCACTCTAGGACCAATGGTATATGTTTTGAGCCCTCTTGAGCTCTAGAATCACTTCCTCAAACATCACTTCCTCAGGGAAACTCTCTCCCTCCCCCACCCGATAAGGCCCTTCTGCATACCCTCCTTTAGTAGTCTTCTCCTCTTCTCGGTTGTTGGAGCTTTAATCCACTTATAGTGTAACAGTCATGTAATCGGCATTTTGTGTGTTTCCTTTGCTAGACTAGAAACATTCTGTTGGTCACCTTTCCAGCACTGTTCTTAGCACCTAGTAAGTGCTCCTAACTCTTTGTCCCTTGTTGGCTTAGCTGACCCTTGTGACCTGCATGTGCTTTCAAGTCAGATCTGAGCTGTGCACATCTGGAACAGGACTCAGAAGAAGCCTCAGTGAGCTGTCTCTGAAGAAGGAATAAGACCTATTTCCCTCAGGGTAGTTGTGAGAAATCAGCCAGATCATATGTGTAAAGCACTTAGCCTAGTGCCCAGCCCATGGCGCCACTCACACCCCCTCCTTCCAAGGCTGGAGTAAGAGGCTGCTTGGGCTGTCGGTCTCCCTCTCGTGTGTAAATTGTGGCAGGTACCTGAGTTCTGCCGTGGAGTGAGGTTGGGGGAGTCTCTGTCCCTTCCCAGCTGGCCGAATGACTTCATAGGTGTGTGTAGCTGAGTCCTGGGGGTTACAGGCTCTGGATAGGATACTGGGAATAAAGGCTGGGGCTACTCCAAGAGGCTGATGTGGGTGGTAGACAGAACCCTTGGAAGCCAAACTGAACTGAGCTCCCATCTCAAACTGGCCACTTGTCAGCTGGTGCTTAACCTTTGGAACCTTAATCTTGTATGCAACATAGAGACCCCCAGCCCTTACCCCCAAAACTGATGAAGAGTCAATGGAACCTGAGTGCAAATGCCTGAGCTAATATAAAAATTAACATTTAGCGAGTTTTTATATTAGGAGCCTGGCACTGAGCTTGAGGGGTGATTATCCCCCTTTTACAACTTGCCTAAAGCCTTCCCTGTTCAGTGGCCACTGAGAGGGCTGTCTGACTTCAGTGTTACTGGGGTCACAGGGAGCTAGATCCAGTGTGCCCTCCAAGTAAGAAAGAACACAATATGCAGGTGCTGTGACTGGGAGCAGTGGATCCCAGGGAATGTGGACAGGGAAAAGGAGATTCTCACTCCTGGTGAACCGCAGGTACAAAGTCTGACTTGACCTCCCTGGGACTTGTTCATCATCTGTAAAATGGGAGCTCTAGGAGTAGTAGTAGATCCTACCTTAAGTGCATGAAAAACGCCTAGCTGATGGTAATCGGTGGTGTTACCTACCATTGTTATTATGACTCCCTACCCTGGGAAATAGGGGAGGGCTGAGCTGGAGGCATCATCTCTCGGTGGTGGGACCTTGTTCTGTCTACTTCCCCCTGAAGTTCTGGGTGTCAAGATCAGAGAAGCTTTCAGGGTATTGGAGCTCTGGATTAGAATCTACTTGGTCTTGCCTTCAGATCTTTGTATTTTCTGTTCCCTGTGGCTGGAATGCTGGTCCCCTAGATCTCTATGGGCCCTGCTGCCTTCTCATCAACTTATTTAGATATTTGATATTTAGATATTGACACAAAGGTTAGCTCCCCAGTAGCTTTCCCTGTTTCCTCAGACTGATATGTGGTACACCCCCACTCCATCATAGACTGTCTCATTCTCTATTTCATTTACTTTACACAATCTATGATTTAAAATCCTATTCATCTGTCATTCTCCTTTAGATCATAAATTCTGTGAAGGCTGAGACTGTCTTTTCATTCCTGTTCTCTAGCTGTCTGCATTATAGTCATCAAAAATATTTGTTGAATGAACAAATTAATTCTGGTTCCACCTGGAAAGCACTTAGCACAGTGCCTTAGACTTGAGAAAATGATCAATAAAGGGTGTGAAACCGTGGCCCTCCACCCTAGCTGTAAATTATGTTGGGCCCCACCCAATTAAATCAGAATTGCTGGAGGTGGGACCTTGGCATTGGCATCTTTTTGAAAGCTTCTCAAAGGGGTTTTGTACCTCGTGGGTTGTGAAGTCCTTGTTTGAAAATTACGAGGTTAATGATCGCTGACTGCTGCCTTTTATTAAGTGCTTTGTGTGACAGAGGTACTGAGGTAAAGGCTATAGGGGCATTATCTCATTAAATACTCATGACTGCCCAGTGAAAGTGGGTACCCTTATCCCCATTATTTGGTGGGGAAACCGAGGCTCCCATAGCTAGCGGATAATAGGTTGTGGGGTTGTCATATGATCCCAGGAATTCTGGGCCAAGAACCTGTATCTTTTAACTGTACTCTATAATTACCATCATGGCTGTCACCATCATCACCATCACCATCATCATTATCATCATCCTGCTCAGGACTGAAAATGTTGGTGGGTCCCGACTTATCACCTAAAGACCTACAGGCATCAGATCTTTCCCTTAACAGGTCCTGGGGCAAATTTTAGAGTAAGAAGGGGTACCCAAGGCTGGTCCCTGTACCTCCTCAGCACCCTGAGGGGCCCTCCAGGTCCCCCACCCCTACCCCCACCCTGGTTTTCTATCTGTCCTCAGGTCCCCTGAGGGAGAGGCCCAGAATGTGGAGTCAGCAGTCCTTATCTCCTACTAGACAGAGCTGTTAGGCTTTTTTTCTTTGGTGAGGGAGGAGGGAAGCTGAAAGAGAGTACTTGGAGATTGCTGGGATTTCTGTACTGGACTTGGACCAGCCTGGCCTGGTAGCTCCCAGAAGTGTGGGCTGAAAGGGGCTGAGCAATTAGCCCAACTACCTTTTTTGTCTAAGATTAAGACCCAGAGGGTCTAGGTCACTTTCTCAAAGTCAAACAGCAAGTTAGTAGCAGAATTGGTCCTCAGACCTGGGACTTCCAGATTCCATTGTTCTTTCTGTGTGGTCTTTCAGAGTCCCAAAGTTCTGTCTCTCTCTGGGGTGTTTTGGCCATCTGAGAAGGAAGTTCAATTATAATCTTTAGTCCCTGGACACCTGTGGATTGATACTCAGTCTGGTTTCCAGTGAGGGGAGAGCTAGGGGGATACTGTCTCTGTCCAGTAGAGCATGACTCTGATTTGGGTAAACTGTTTCCAAGGCCAGTACTGAGAGCTCCCCTCCCAGTTATCAAAACAAACAAATAAATAAATAAATAATAAATAAATAATAAATAAATAAATAAACAATAAACATCCTCTCTGAACCCTACCTCTCAGACTAGGAGCAGATTTAGTGAGTACATGAATGGTGGGTTCCAAAGAGACTCCAGTGCATGACATCAGAAGAACTGCTACTGTCAGCCTTGTATGCCCTGCTTAGATTCCCTCCATTCCTCTCTATTTTCTCTGTTTTCTTCATTCACAGACTGGTATGAATGACCTAGCCTGCTGTCCTCAAAATGTGATCTGGTAGTGGGAGATCTGAATCAGACAATTAGAAGACAATATTATCAGAAGCAAAAGCACCAGGAATTGTAGGGTCACAGATGAGGGTCAGAAGAAGGTTCCCCAACCTTGGAAGACTATGAGTTAATTTGGCAAAAGAAGTGACCAGTGGGAGAACAGTAGGCCAGAACTACTAATTTACCTGGAAAGGTATGAGTACTAGAGGCAGGGTTTTAAGCCAGTTGACCAGATTTGCACTTGAGAAAATTTCCCTTGGCTACAGAAAGTTTGCCCTCCTAGAAACCACCAGTGTCACGGACTCACTAAATGTGCTTCCAGTTCTAGAGGTATAGTTTGGGCAGGATATTTTCTTTATGCATTTGTTTTGTTCATTTGTTGGAGGATAGGTAGAAGAGGGCAGGGCAATGGAAGCAGGAAGAACATTGGTAGGGCTGTGGGTGGCGGTCCAGACAAGGGATGGTGTAGTCTAAGGTGATGGAAGTGGGAGGGATGAAGAAGTGACAGCTGGAAAGCAATTGAGGCTGTATCATAGGAATCTAAGTAAGGTAGATGCTAATCTAGTTTCAGGATTTCTTGTATGGGATCTCCAGGGCTACTAAAAAGGTGGCCTCCTAGAGATGTGTACCATGGTTGCTATATATTTTTCCCCTTCCCATCCCCCTCCCACCTAAAACTGGGACTCCTGGGTCCCTGCCCAGTTCCTGAAAACCTCACCCTGTAGGGTGAGCTCTTCCTTGCTTATCCTTTCTCCACCTGCCAACATGTGTATATCTCCCACCTGACTCTTCCGTACAGTGTGCACCAAAGGGTGGTTTTATTTATTTTAAAAAATATTTTATTTATTCACGAGAGAGAGAGAGAGACAAAGGCACAGGCAGAGGGAGAAGCAGGCTCCATGCAGGGAGCCTGACGTGGGACTCCATCCCGGGTCTCCAGGATCACACCCTGGGCTGAAGGGCTAAACCGCTGAGCCACCCGGGCTGCCCCAAAGGGTGGTTTTGTTTTGTTTTTTAAGATTTTATTTATTTATTCGTAGAGAACAGAGAAAGAGAGAGAGGCAAAGACACAGGCAGAGGGAGAAGCTGGCTCCACACAGGGAGCCCGATGTGGGACTCGATCCTGGGTCTCCAGGATTACACCCTGGGCTGAAGGCAGCGCTAAACCGCTGAGCCACCCGGGCTGCCCCCAAAGGGTGGTTTTAAAAGCTCTGTGTGCCCCCTTGAGTAGGAAGAAAAAGCTGGAGAGATAACTATACTCATAAGTCTTCACTTTTACCTCCAATAATCATGATGTGTTTCCTTCTAGGAGCAGAGGGAAAGCCGGGCTCGGCGAGGCCCCCGAGGGCCCAGTGCCTTCATCCCAGTAGAGGAGGTAGGCTTGGAAGGGGTTAGGAATTTTTGGCCTCTGGGAAGAAAGGACATGGGACGTTGTGTGGGTGGGGGTCTTTTCCTGTCTCTTGAAATAACAGCTTTGAAACTAGCTTCAGGTTCTTGACTCATTTAACCCACAAACAGCTCTGTGAAGCATGCATATCAACCCCACGTTGCTGGGAAGAAACAGGCTCAAAGAGATAAAGTGATAATGACAGCTAGGTAATGAACAAACTTTTGATTCCCAGAACAAGGCTCTTTCTTTCTTTTTTTCTTTCTTTTTTTCTTTCTTTCTTTCTTTCTTTCTTTCTTTCTTTCTTTCTTTCTTTCTTTCTTCTTTCCTTCCTTCCTTCCTTCCTTATTTATTTTTATTTTATTTTATTTTATTTTATTTTATTTTATTTTATTTTATTTATTTGACAGAGCAAAAGCACAAGCAGGGCGAGTGGCAGAGGGAAAGGGTGAAGCAGACTCTCCATTGAGGAGGAGCCTGACACAGGGGCTCGATCCCTGGGATCATGACCTAAACCAAAGGCAGACGCTTAATCTACTGAGCTACCCTGGTGCCCCAGGCCTGTTCTTTAAAAAGATAAACTATCTATATTAACTGCTCTTATTTGACTATACATAAATTACTTTTTTTTTTCAACTTCAAAAGTGATATTATGTTCATTATAAGAAAATTTTTAATGTCTCAGAAGGCTCTGGTCTCCTGTAATCCGACCTCCCACAGAGATAATCACTGTTACTTAACTGTTTATCACTGTTTTGGGGCTTTTTTTCATATAGAACCAAGGTCATAGTTTACAACATATGGGGGAGGCGGTTATCATCATGTTCTTTATTTTCATCACTACAAGAAACATCTAATACAAGAGACATAATTTATCCACTGAGTCAGATCATTTATTCATTTATTTAACAGATATCTATTGAATGATTAGTCCATGTCAGGCACTGTTGTAGGTGCTGGGGCTAAGACAGAACAAGACAGCCAAAACCCTTGTCATCACGGAGCTGACGACATTCTAGCATGGGGTTGGGGGGGAGGGGCATTACCTTCAAACTACATGCCAGAAGAATTTTAAAATAATAGTTTCCTCCTATTTCTTTGGCCTTCAGGGAACAAAAATAAATGTTTTGTTTTGTCGTCCTGTTTGCTCTCCTAAATGTGTAGCCAAGCAGTTAATGAGCTGTTAACAAATGTCTAACTTGCCCCCTCTCCACCCCCAGTTCCCTCTCCACCCTTTGTAAATGGAAAGCAAACAACCACCTGCTGATTATTTATATCCAGCCCAGAGTTTTTAAACTCAAGTATTGTTCTTGTATTTTCTTTTTTCATTTGTAAATAACCAGTCCTCTTTTATAATGAAGGAAATAAACAGGCTTTGGTGCTAATCTGGATTTGAATCCACGTTCTGGTCATTTACTAGATCTGTAACCTTGAGCAAAGAGATCATTTAAAGAATTCTCTATTCCTCCCCTATTTTCCCTTTTTTTTTGGACATGACGGTCAGTTTTTAGTTTCTTGGCTATTATAGTCCCAACACAATGAATACATTGGTCTCTTTGATGTGGAGGGTGGTCTGGGAACTCACCCTCTCTCCTTTGCTTGGCAGGTCCTTCAGGAGGGAGCTGAGAGCCTGGAGCAGCACCTGAGGCTAGAGGCACTGATGTCCTCTGGACGGGTGGACAATCTGGCAGTGGTGATGGGCCTGCACCCTGACTATTTTAGCTGCTTTTGGCGTCTGCACTACCTCTTGCTGCACACAGACGGGCCCCTGGCCAGCTCCTGGCGCCACTACATTGCCATCATGGTGAGCCTGTCTGAGTCCAACTCTTGTAGGGTTGGCCACATGGGGGGTTTTGGTCTTGAGATCTCTTTGCTGGGTGCTTCCTAAATTCATTCCATAGCCCAGGAGGAAAGGTTGCACAGTGCAGAGGAAAGCCCTAACTTTATCTAATCATCCACAGAATTATGAAGAGAGGCTTTCTTTCCTTTTTTTTTTTTTTTAATTAAGTAGGCTCCATACTCAGCATGGAGCCCAATGCAGGGATTGAACTCATAACCCTGAGATAAATCAAGACCTGAGCTGATAGCAAGTCAGATGCTTAACTGACTGAGCCACCCAGGCACCCCAAAGAGGCATTTTTAGTGCCTACTTTATGAAGAAGGAAACAGGCACAAAGGAGTCAGGTGACCTGCCCAAGGAAGGAGAGTAAACTAGTGGAGCTGGGGTCAGGACCTCAGAGTCCTGCCTCTCTGGCCACAGTGAGGTCTGGGATTTCTCCCTCCATGGGGTATCTACCCTGAGCAAGGATCTGTCCACCCCCTCCACAGGCTGCCGCCCGCCATCAGTGTTCTTACTTGGTGGGTTCTCACATGGCTGAGTTTCTGCAGACGGGTGGTGACCCTGAGTGGCTACTTGGTCTCCATCGTGCTCCCGAGAAGCTACGCAAGCTCAGTGAGATCAACAAGTTGCTGGCACACCGGCCATGGCTCATCACCAAGGAACATATCCAGGTGCCGTGGGCAGAGAGGCAGTGGGAGCAAAGGGGCTGGGCTGGGGCATGTCAGGCAGTCAGCCCGGGGCCAGGCACTGAGCCAGTCTGGCCTTCTTTCCTCTCCAGGCCTTGCTGAAGACAGGCGAGCACAGCTGGTCTCTGGCAGAGCTCATCCAGGCACTGGTCCTGCTCACCCACTGCCATTCACTGGCCTCCTTTGTGTTTGGCTGTGGCATCCTCCCTGAGGGGGACTCAGAGGGCAGCCCTGCCCCCCAGGCACCTTCACCCCCCAGTGGGCAGAGTAGCCCACCCAGCAGGGACCCAATGAACAACTCTGGGGTAAGTCGTGGGCCTGGGTCTTATTGGGAGAAGAAGCTCGCATGGCCTCTGGTCCTTGCATGGAAGCCGGTGTTTCCCTATCTCATGCAGAGAGGCCTCAGAAAAGTTAGTTGACTTTGAAACTTGGTTTCCTCATCTGTGAAATGAGGCTACAGACCCCTACTTCATAGGGGTTGTGAGGATCAAATGAAATAACCATGTGGTAGGCCCCTTGGCATGTAGCGTCTTAGGCATAAGGTCTCCTGAGTATTAGCACTTTAGAAAGTTTGCCTCTTACTCCATCAGATGGCCTTGTTTGTTTTAATATAAAATTACAGATACTTTAATAATCCCCTTTCCAGTGAGGGAGGTTGATGGTCAGAGAAGACATGCCTATTCCATAGCTTCTTAAACTTCACTTTTTTTTTTGAAGATTTTTTTTAATTTATTCATGATAGACACAGAGAGAGAGGCAGAGACACAAACAGAGGAAGAAGCAGGCTCCATGCAGGAAGCCCGATGTGGGACTTGATCCCCGGACTCCAGGATCACGCCCTGAGCCAAAGACAGATGCTCAACTGCTGAGCCACCCAGGCATCATTTTTTTTTTTTTTTAAGATTTTATTTTTTTATTAGGGAGAGCGAGAGAACAGGCACAGGCAGGGGGAGGGGCAGAGGGCAAGGGAAGAGCAGTCTCCCTGCAGAAGAGGGAGCCAGGATACGGCAGGGCTTGATCCCAGGACCTGAGAGCCGTAGGCAGACACTTAACTGACTGAGCCACCCAGATGCCCCTTGAACTTCGCTTTGGAAAGCACAACACACAAGCTGCCCAGCCCACTAGCTGCCTCGGGAGGCAGTGCACCCCTGTGGTTGCTCGGGATGGCCTGGCTTATGGGAAGGATGTGTGGAGTTTCCTGGGGCTGAGGAGTAAGTGGTCACCACGGGGTCCCTCCTGCAGGGCTTTGAGGCTGCCCGAGACGTGGAAGCTTTGATGGAACGCATGAGGCAGCTCCAGGAGAGTCTGTTACGGGATGAGGGAGCATCCCAGGAGGAGATGGAGAGCCGCTTTGAGCTGGAGAAGTCAGAGAGCCTTCTGGTGACTCCCTCAGGTACAACGTCACAGGAAGCCAGGTTCCAGGGGCTGCCCCCTTCTTACACCATCTCTGCTGGGGAGTAGGCATCTTCATGCATGGCCCCTCTTATATTTTGGAGGCAGCCACATCTCAACCACTTCTTCTAGGAGGTTCCGAGCATGGACTTTAGGGTCAGCCCCTCTGGCAATGTGACCCCTGAGAATTCACTTTCTGTCTCGGGGCCTCAGTCTCCTCCCACGTGAAGGATTGGTTTGTGGGGTAAATGGGACAATGGAAGCAAAACTCTTAGCACAGAGTAAATGGCTCCATGAATAACTACTGTTGTCAGGATTGCTATGATTATTACTGGGGGCTTTATCCGCCGGGTCCATGGGCAGCCTCATCTACCCCCACCCATTACTGATTAATCAGGAGTAGATGCTCCTGTACTCCATGCCTTGGCCTCACTGTGACCTGTTTCTGACATCCTTAGCCGACATCCTGGAGCCTTCTCCACACCCAGACATGCTGTGCTTTGTGGAGGACCCGACTTTTGGATATGAGGACTTTACCCGGCGAGGGGCTGAGGCGCCCCCCACCTTCCGTGCCCAGGTAGGTTCTCTAGGCTCTTGTTGGCATTGCACTGGGTTTACAAACAAGCAAGGGGTGGATGGCTTGAGTGGTTAGAAAGCCAGGCATCTTCTCCCTTGAGATTTTGTGAGGGAAATGGGAGACCCTGAATCGTGTCAGGACCTATCTGTGCCCTAAGCTCAGGGGATCCTGGTCACAGGGAGAAGGTCATCACCAAGGTGCATTCTCTTTGACTTCTCCCAGACCAAGCAGCAGGCCCAGATCAGGCAGCAAGTTAGATCTGTGGGGCAGGAAAGAGACTATAAAGAGTGAAATTGTGCTCCAGAGGATGGGGTCCCTATGGCCAACCTTGGACCCCCAAGATTATACTCCCTGACCCCTTCCCACATTTTTCAGGATTATACCTGGGAAGACCATGGCTATTCACTGATCCAGCGGCTTTACCCTGAGGGTGGGCAGCTGCTGGATGAGAAGTTCCAGGCAGCCTATAGCCTTACCTACAACACCATTGCCATGCACAGTGGAGTAGACACCTCCATGCTCCGAAGGGCCATCTGGAATTACATCCACTGTGTCTTTGGGATCAGGTGAGCATAGAGCCCCTCATCCAGTGTGCATGTGTGCTACAAACCCTCAACCTCAGCTCACAGCTATTTCCTTTTGTTCTTTGTTTATTTCTTTTCCCTTCTTCCTGCCTATAGTATTTTTCAAAGCAAATTCATTTCTTTGCTGATTATAAAAGATAATAGATGTGCTGTTTGAACCTTGTAAAGGAAACTCTTTAATCCCACCCTCTAGAGATAACTAAGGAGATACTTTGAAGAGTCAGGAGGGAGAGAGAATGTGTGTTTCCATTCCAAGTAGGAGCTCTTCTCTTACAATAAATAAGGATGACATAAATGCACATCAGTAAGAAGACTTTAAATAACGTTATATCCACTCAGTGAAAAAGTATGCAGCTATTACAAATTATAATAATGGTTTCTTTATATTGCTATAGGAAATTGTACAAAATGTATTGAGAAAAAAGAAAGCTGGTTACCAACCAGAATCTTCCTTTTGTTCCCCCCTTTTCTTTACTAAAAATGTGTGCGTGCATGGAAAATGTGTGGAAGGCTACACGCTAAAATGTTAATTAATAATGGTTGTCTCTGGATACTGTATGATTAACATTTTCATCTTGTTATTTAAGTATTTTCTGATTTAAGTAGATTTTTTTTAATTGATGGAATCATGCTTGATATATTCTACAACTTGCTTTTTTTTTCACCTAGTCATCTATTGTGAACTGCCTTCCTTGTCAGTATGAATAGATCTTTTATGTTTTTTAACCACTGAATGGTGTTCCATTATGGATGTAGCTTAATTCAACCACGCCTCAATTATTGGATGTGTAGATAGTTTGCAGTTTTTCACTATTAAAAACACCATGTGCACTGGCTACCCTTATACCTAAATCCTTATAGATGATCACTAGATCTGAAATTACTTGTCAAGAATATACACAGACCATGGGGTGCCTGAGTGGCTCAGTCAGTTAAGCGTTTCCCTTTGCTCAGGTCGTGATCCCAGAGTCCTAGGATCGAGCCTGGCAGGTACCCTGTTCATGTGGTCTCTCTCACTCACTCTCTCTTCATCTCTCAAATAAGTAAATAAAATCTTTTTTTTTTTTTTTTTTTTTTTTTTTTAGTAAATAAAATCTTAAGTCACTTAACTGTCTGAGCTGCCCAGGCACCCCTATTTTTAAAAAATTAATTTTTTAAAAAGATTGTGTTTATTTATTTTTGAGAGGGAGAAAGATAGCAAGTGTGTGAGCTGGGGGAGGACAAAGGGAGAGAGATAGAATCTCCAGCAGACTCCAGGCTGAGTGCAGAGCCCAAAGTGGGGCTTGATCTCATGACCCTGAGATCATGACCTGAGCCAAAACCAAGAGTCAGACCGACTGAGCCTCCCAGGTGCCCCCAGACCAATTTTTTTTTTTTAAGAAATCTTACTCTGATAACATTGTAAGAAATTCAGAGAATTAAGGGGAAAAAAACCATTTCCCAAATTCAGCTACTTAACAACCACATCCCCATCCTGTGACAGTCTTTCTCCGTTGCTTTTCTTCTTTCTAATGTAGTTGCTTTTCTGTAGTTGGAGTTATAACAGTAATTACATTTTTTAAATGTGTATTTGATGTTTATAGAGAGAACTAGATTTATAGTAAATCTAGAAAACAGAAGTAACAAAAAGGAGAAAATAAAGATCATCCATGATCCCACCTGCTCTTATTATTGTCAAGTATTTCTCTCCTGGCTTTTTTCCACACGCCAATAACCAAAACACACATAATTTTACAAACACAAGATTTTCTCCCTACTCATTTCACTTATTTTACTCATTTAATCAAATGTGTTGTGGCTATTTTAATGAATATGTGATTTTGCTTTTTTCATTTAGTGGTTTAGTCCAAGCATCTAAAAAAAAAAAAAAAAAAACCCTACGTTTTAGAAAGGTACATGTTCCCTGTAGAAAATGTGTGTTTTTGTACTACTGGCTGTAAATTATATTTCACTGGGTGGATTCATTTGTATTTAATTGGGCGTCTTCTTGCTAGTCATGGACAGTTTTCCAGCCCAGGGGAGGTGGAAGAGGGGCAAGCGTCTTAGAGTGTGGCACAGGCTGCTTCTGCCCAGCTCCCTGGTCCACACTTCCCCATTCTCCAGCATGGTTCTTACTCTCACGCCTCTGTCTACTGAATCTGTCCTCCAGTTTTCAGCCAATTTACCCCATCCAAACTGATCTGTGATGACTCACTGGCTCACTGGACTGGAGAGTGACAAAGTGGCTTCCAGACTTGTCACCAACTTGCTCTTTGACTTTGAACAAGTTAATTATCTGCTCCAGGCCTTAGTTTGGCCATCTGTAAAATGAGTACCACTTCTTTTTCCCTTTCTCTATGCCTTCTCCAGGGAAAGTAGTTGTACTGACCTCCTGCCCCTTCTTCCATGGCTTTTACTGTATGAATATGACCTTGGAGCTGGGCAGAGCTGGGTTTGAAATCCATTCCCAGGACAAGTGACTTCACCTCTCTCACTTTCCCTTTCAGTTATACAATGGGGCTGATGAATATGGTGTTTTATATATAATAGTTCTGTAGACAGCTTCTATAGTAGTTTTGAGGATTCCATGAGCACATGTTCACACAGCACACGACTGGTACTCAATATGGCATGCTAATTGTCTGCAGTCTTTGGAGTGGTCCCCTACCAGTCTAGTGGCCTGCAACGTATGACATCAGCTGTTTTTCTAAGAGGAACCAAGCTTCTACTTGCTTCCTACCTTCTGCTTTTTCTTGCCACACTCTGTTCCTCCTTCTATAGGGTGGGGGTAGGGGAGAGGAGTCACTTGGAGAGTGATGCTATCGAGGTCTTTCTATTCAGATATGATGACTATGACTACGGGGAGGTGAACCAGCTCTTGGAACGGAACCTCAAGGTCTATATCAAGACGGTGGCCTGCTACCCAGAGAAGACCACGCGAAGAATGTACAACCTCTTCTGGAGGCACTTCCGCCACTCAGAGAAGGTACAGGAGAGAATGGGGTCAGGACCCAATGTGCTTTCCCAGGCTGAGTCTTCCCCCAGTTGGGACACCTGGGTGTACCATCCTGGGTTCAAGTCCTGGTCCCACTGTGTGATTTCTGACTCCATTTACTCACCTATAAAATGGGAGTATGCTTCCTAAGGTCCTCAGTGGCAGCCAGCCTGACATGATCACTCAGTAGCCTGGTGACCCTGGGCAAGTTGCTTTGCCCCCTGAGCTAGTTATATTTATAATAAGAGCAAACACTGCCTGCATTTCAAGGTTGCTGGGAGGGTGAAATGAGAAAATGAATGCCCAGGGGCAGCTCTGGTTTTTAACTTTGGGAAATAAAGAGATTAGTCAGGATAGGAATGGTGAGGAGTGACATCAGTCACCAACAAGTCCTTGTCTACACCCCAGGTCCACGTGAACTTGCTGCTTTTGGAGGCCCGTATGCAGGCTGCCTTGCTCTACGCCCTCCGTGCCATCACCCGCTACATGACCTGACTCCAAGCAGGATCTGGGCCCAGAGCAACTGACCCTGGGGGCATCCTCCTCCCTGCAAGGACTTCTCTGTCTGGAGACAGACCCTGATCCCTTTCTGTCCCAGGCCTCCCACCCCACGCTGGAGGTGGGCTTGTGTATGACGTGCAGCCCCTGAGCTGTCCCCTCTCTTCTTCTCACTGGAATGGACAGGATCATTGCACTGACTCTGGGACCTCAGTTCTGCCCCTGGGAGCTGGAAGAGGACCAGCAGATCCCAAGGGACCATGCCCTTCTTCCCGTCCCTGACCCCAGAGGCAGAAGGCACAAGAAGGGAAATGAACTGAGCTCATTTATGTGCCAGCAGCCTGGGCCACGGGCATCACAAGTATGGTGGCCTTCCTGGACTGGGAAGTCCCTGGCTGGCCCCTGAAGGAGAGGGGGCAAAATCTCCAGGGGCTGACACTCCAAGCAGCTTTGCCTTTCCTCCTCCTCCCTCACTCCCAGATTTCATTTCCTCCCACCTGCCATTCACCCGTCAATGTGAAACTCAGTGTCACAGCTGGTCTGTGTGTTTGGCTCCCCGAGAGCCTGTTCTTTCGGGCAGCCTGAAGGCCCCTTTTCCCTAGTTATCCTGATCCTGCTTTAGCTCCTTTGACCTCCCCTTACCCACCCCTGTTCCCCTTCTCTCCCATACCTGGTGGTGGGAGGCCCCATAAGAGAGACCAAGCACATCAAAAAAGTAGATTATCTCTAGAGGGTTTGGGTCTTCTGTGGGTCCCTTTGCCTTCTGAAGAGGAGGGAGTATTAGCAATTCTCTGTATTTCGGTTCTTTAAGGGGAACGTTCTCAGGACCACACCTCTATAGCCACAGTCAATGCCTGAGAGGAGGGGCACAGGGAGAAATCTCCCCAGAACTGGGCCTGCTCTGCAGGTAGTGGCACCCCACTCTCCAACCTCCCACGGCTCTGCTACAGACATTTCCCACCAAGTGAGCCTTTCTAGATGGTTTCAGAGGCAGGGGTTCAGGGGGAGAGTCAGGAGACGCCAGGGTTTTTGTTTGGGTCCTGCTCAAACTGACCTGTGTGACCATAGCTACGTTGCCAAACCTTTTTGACCTCCGTTTATATAGTTGCAACGGAGGGCTGAGACTTTCTGTGATGTCTGAGTCTACTCTGGGCTTTGCAGGCCGACCTGCCAGCAGCAAACTGCAAAGCTTGCAGAATCTCAAAGGCCTCTAGGGATAGCCTGCCCCCTTGGCAGGCAGTCTCTCCTGGCTGCCTTCCTAGGACAGCCCCCCCATCCGAACCCCCCAATCCCAGTTTCTGTCCTTTCCTCGATTTTAGGTGGATTGCTTGGAGGCAGAAGCAGCCAAGGACCGATCCCAGGCACTTTCTGTAGCAAATAAGCTGTGAATGGTGACGTCCCATGCCCTTCTTCTGGCAGTATGTGCCTCCTCTCTGACCAGTTTGGAGGTGACTGAAGAAAGGCGGGGGTCATGCTGCTGCTGCTGCTTCTGACCCTCCTCTCTGGAGAGGGGCAAGAACGGAGCCTGGTCAGCGTGCCACATTTCAAACCCATGCAGGCATGGGGAAGCGACTGGCACCCCCTTCCGGCCTCAGAGCCCTCCCTGCAATGAAGTTGGGCAGGAGGGAAGAGGCCCCAGCATTGGGGTTTGGATTCTAGAAGGGACATGATGAGTCTGTAAATGTCCCCCCGGGGGATAGGGAGGGATATCTAGTGTTCAAGTGCAGAAATCTTCGGCTTTGCTACCAGTTCTGTATGATGAAAAATAAAAGTTCACTGAGGTTTTGTTTTGTACTTCTTGTTTATGGGCTGTTTTTCCAAGGGTCATGGTTCATCTCTTAGCATCAGCAGCAAGCCGTGGTTGCATCATGGACCTGACCTGCTGGCCCCTACCCTGCTGGGCACTTGTGCCCAGTGACTGCTGGGTTGAGAGTAGTTGGCATTAAAAGTCTATTCTGTCTCTTGGGTGCCCAGCCCTGCCACTGTGGGAGAATAATGGCCGTGTTATTTATCTCACTAAGCCTGGCCTTGGACTGGGTACTTGGAGGCCATTTTTCTGAATCTGTGAGAAAATTCAGACCCAGAGATAAAGTGACATTGCTACAGCCACATAGGTGGTCACTGGTGGAACCAGGATTCCAACCAGGGTCTGCCTGACTTGTAGGCCTCAGCATTTCACCTTGCTGCTTTTCCCCACTGCGGGGCTCCCCCTGTAGCAGAGGGAAGTTTTTGAGATATCTGGGAACCCCTCCCTTGTGTCCCCTGCCCCACCACATTGTGCTTACCTGCTTCTCATCACTTTCTCAGCACCAAGGAGACAGAACCAGGTGAAGAGGGTTAGATGTGATCTCCACATGGTGCCACTGCCATTCAGCAGCTGTGTGATCTCGGTCAAGCTTCTTAGCTTCTCTGGGCACCGGGAACTTTAGTAAAGCGTATCAGGGAAATCACATTATGACTAAGAACCAAGACCTCTTCTGTTGGCTTCCCACTTCCTCCGAACACTGCTGTCATAAAATGAAAACTGGGGGGTCTCCTCCAGGAAGCCCCCCCTGATAACTTCATGTTCCCTTTCTCTTTCCTCTCTTCATTTTTGTGGCGTCCTATATACTTGTTCTTCTTTCTAAAGTCATTTGAGAGGGTGTTGAGAGAACAAACCAGACTAGAATAGAAAACTGGGATTCTGGTCCTGACTTAAGTTTCCTCTGCCATGAAAACAGAGGCGATGTGTCTTCAGTTCTCCAGATCGCATTATTGAATGACTTTTGCCGAATGTTTTCGAATTTGCTATCTCCATCTTCACAGCCCTGTGAGAAAGGAGTGGTGTTCCCATTTTACAGATGTGGAAAAGGAGCCTCAAGGGAGAGTCTATGGAACACCAACTTAACAGTTACACCCAGGTTCAAATTCCAGCTTTAATATCTAAAGTCTGTCTGGACCAAAAGCAAATTAGTTCAATCCTCAATACCTATGGACACAGGAGGCTTGTGTGGATTAAATAGTGCATGAGAAACACCTCGCACAGTTCAGGTGCCTGGCACCTAGCCCCAGTGAGCCATTGAGTATTTAGTTATCTCCCCAACATCACCCAGCATAGGATTTCAACCCTTGTCAGTCTGATTCCAGATCATTGCTTTTGTGCCCAAACTCCCTAGGCCCTCAATCTGCATTTTTTAAAATTTGCATGTGGAATTGAAAACTCTGGGCTCCAGATCGGGTCTAATGAATCCATTTTAGACTTCTGCATCTTGTAATCCAGGACCTGGACCTACCTATCGAGGTTGGAGTTTGTTTAGGGTTGCCCTTGGCTTGATTCTTTGTTTGGCTTTTGAAGCCACGCTGGGATTGAGGACTGCTGGTAATGGGTAGAGAGGCAGGAGCTAGGTGAGTCTCCGCCAGCTGTTCCAAACATTCACCAGAGCCCTGGGACAAGTGGAACAAAGTGGTTCTCAAACTTTTTGTGCCTTGTAACCTCCCAGAGGACCAGTGTTTGGAGGTAGAGCTGAGAAATTTGCATCTTGAGCAACTTTCCTGGTGTTCCCATGCTAGGGGCATCCTTTCAGTCAACAGATCTTGTGCACTGACTACATAGATATGTTGGGCATAGAGCAGGAAACAAGGCAGGCATGGTTACTGCCCTTTGGGGATTTATTGTCGGAGGAAGAGACAGATTAGATTAGCACACAACTAATTATTTAAATTATAATTGTGGGGAGGCCTGTGTGGCTCAGTTGGTTAGGCATCTGCCTTCGGCTCATGTCATGATCCCAGGGTCCTGGGATCGAGTCCTGTTTCGGGCTCCCTGCTCAGTGGGCCTCTGCCTGCTGTGCTCTCGCTCTCTGTCAAATAAATAAATAAAATCTTAAAAAAAAAATTCTAGGGGGATCCCTAGATGGCTCAGCAGTTAAGCATCTGCCTTTGGCCCAGGGCGAAGTCCTGGAATCCTGGGATTGAGTCCCACATCAGGCTCCCTGCATTGGAGCATGCTTCTCTCTCTGCCTATGTCTCTGCCCCCCACCCCTCCCGTCTCTCAAGAATAAATAAATAAAATATTTTTTAAAATTATTCTAAATGTGATCAGTACCTGAAAGGAGAAATAGGGAGGTGCTGTAGGAGCATTTACAAACTAGCAACAGAGCTTTTTCTTCCAAGGAAATATGTGGGACCTTTGCAGAAACTAAAACACATTCCAGAAGAGCAGTTTCTTACCCACTGGAACCCGAGGGCTCCATGGGGCAGTTGGAAAGCTGCTAATCTACATTCCTACTAATGGGTGCTGCTGTGTGCAACCGGGATCCTGGCCCTCATTTCATCCTGCACCCCCACCCCATTGGGAGTGTCGGTTGCTGCACAATCTCAGCAGAGCCCCTCTCTGGGAACTGCCCTGGACTGAAAGGAACTACTTGGCTGATGGTCAGGGCCATGCCAGGCAGTCTAGCCTGCCTTCAATGACTGGTGGATGGGAGAGGAGAATACAAAGGCCTGGCTGCCTGCCCCCATTGGAAACAACTCTGAAGGGTTGTCCCAGCTCCAGGGCCCCCTTTATGAGGTCAACGCTGCAGCTACACCCCTGCCCAACTTGTGCCCCATCCTACTGTGCTCTGCCCTCTGGTTTTGATCCCTGCTAAACCCCCTGTTTACAAATTTCCACCTCAGAGTCTGCTCACAGAGGAGAGAGGGGAGATGACTTACTTGAGGTCTCACAAGCCTGAGCCTTCAGATCCTTGTCATAGTTGGTAACCACCTGCATCAGTCCCACAACTTCCTGTCTCAACCTCCTCTTCCTGAGGTTGGAGGCAACAGCTGCAGTGTGAAAGGGCCAGAAGAGATGTTCCCTCCCATCCCCACTCCCGTGGCTGGAGACCTTGGGCTGGTCACTTCCCGTTTGTGGGGAGAAGGTTAAGTACCCTGTCTGGCCGTCCCCATCTTCTCCCAAGTCTGCCTGTGTGCCATGGCTCTGCCCCTGAGAAAAGCCAGGGCTCAGCTGCTGATAGCAGCAGAGATCCTTACCCCTCATGTCTGAACCACCTCTGACCTCACTGCTGGTTTGTGTGGGGGGGACCTGGAGCTTCTGTCCCAGTTCTGAGTATCTGAAATCATATTTCAAAGAGGAGTCATGCCAATATTATCGACTTCTTACTATGTTCCAGACGCTACCGGATGCTGGCAGCACCCACGAATGAGACAGATGCAGTCCTGGCCCTCATGCTCCTTTAAGTCCAGTGGAAAAGACAAAACACACAAGTACTTGTGATTAGTCCTGGGGGAATAAAAAGTACAGCTATGAGAGAGTTATAGCAGTGGGACTCCCACACTTGCGGCAGTTCCCTGGGAAATACCCTGGACCGGGCAGATAAGAAAGGGCTGGCCAAGGATGGGAGGGGAGAGAGGAGTGTGGTGCAAAGATTTCTGGCAGAGGAAGCAGCCTGGGGGAAGATCTGGAAAAGCAGGAATAAGGCAGCCTGGTGGGGACAGAGGGAGCAGGGAGGACGCGAGGAAGGGCGAGGTGCAGAAGGAAGCCTAGGCCAGATCAGTCATGGCCTTGGCAGGCGTGTTAGAATTTTGGGCCCTATCCTATGGGCCATGGGAAGTCTTCAAAGGAGGTTTGGTTGCATAGCACAAAATAGATGCTATGGACTGAATGTTCGTGTCCTCCTCAAATTCATATGCTGAAACCCTGATCTCCAGGATGATGGTATTTGGAGATGGGGGCTTGGGAGGGAATTAGGTCATGAACCTGGGGGCCCCCATGGTGGGATTAGCGTCCTAATAAGAAGAGACAGGAGAGTGACTGCTCCCCACACAGACCTGTGAGGACATCACCTGGATAAGGGTTTTCTCATCAGGAACCAAATTGGCTGGTACCTTGATCATGGACTTCCCAGACTCCGGAAGCACAAGAAAGAAATTTCTACTGTTTGAGCCATTCAGACTAAGGTATTTTTGTTATAGCAGCTAAACTTAGACCATAGATAGTATTTACTGGAAGAAGGAACAGAGAACTTAGTAAGACTTATTTAGGATTTACCATGTGCCGGGCACTTCCACTGAAGCACATCATGGCCATGACCTTATCTGATGCTCACGACAGCCCTGTATAGTAAAGCCTATTATTAACTCTGTTTTAGGGATGGGCATAATTGAACCTAGACTTAAAATCCCCTCATCCAGAAAGCTTTCTCTGGCTCCCCATCTCTACCCTGGGTATACATTTTCCTGCTTTCACCTAAGCTTACCAAATCCTTCTGGTTTTCCAAGATATTTTTTTTCTGTCTAGTTTGATAACCATTCATGTAGCTCACTCATCCCCACATTTAATTGCAAGCCTGGTGGGGGCAGAAGCTTTTGTTCACGGCTTTATCTCCAGAGCCTAGAGCAGGACCTTGCAGGTAGTAGGGACTGAGTAAATAAAATATGTAGAATATGTTTCCAAAAAATATATATATATGTATGTTTCCATCCACTAGGATGCTTAGTATAGTGCAGGGTCTGGGTGGGAGGGGATGTTCCAGAAATAACAACCTCCCCCATGTTTTGGACTTGGCCTCTGCTCTGGCTGTCTCTGCCTGGCTGGTTGTTACGTTGCCAGCTCTCAGATACTCTGCGTCAGGCTGATGTTGGGGAAAGAGCTTGGACTTTGGAACCAGATAGATGAGGCTCACATTTGAGTGCAAGTCCATCTGGAACAAGGCAGCATAGTATAAATAAACAGAACCAAGTACCTATATGAGATTTGATTTTCTTTAATTTCCTCACCTATAAAATGGGAACATTACCATCGACAATTATTGTTG